CATCACTCCGTTCACGAGTGTGTACAGCTGCTCACAGCAATCACGTGGAGCATCACCGCTCGTCACGTTGGACACATCGTCCGACGTCGAAGACGTCACAGACGCCCTGCGTCTTCTTCTCCTCTCTCTCCGCGACCGAGCCCGGCCGGATGAGGGCGGTGTGGCGACATCTCCGTCACCACCACCGGGTGCAGCAGCACCATCACTCCTCGAAGAGGATACAGTGTCTCGCAAGACACTCGGCTGAAAGCCAAGAGGTTCTTGACCTTCACACAGTGAACTAGGTGTCACTTCACCTGCATCTCCTGGGCCACGCCCATGATGCCTCGACTCGCAGTCGACCGCGACCCTCGGGTCACGCAGCGGTAGGTCATCGACCAGATTCATACCACTCAGTGGATTACGCGCCACTCCGCGCTCGTCCTCATTAGGACCCAGCAGTTGGTCATTGACCTGACCTGCACCGCTCCGCGGATAACGTGCCGCACCACGTACGCCCTCAGGGCAAACAGCAACCTCGTTGCTAACAATTTCGGACATACCAATGTCCAGCACTACGGCCGCCTCGGCCTCGTGCTCGCGCCAAAAGCACTTCTGCTTCCTAGCAGAGGTGGGTTCATGACTCACCAAAGCTCCACTAGGAGCAGGGTGCGACGCACCCAGCGTTTTCGACTTCCAGTCGATCCATGGCTCATGACGTTCCAGCCATGCCATGCCAAGGATGAGGTCATACCTCGCATCCAGGTCTAAGACCAAACAGCGTTCCACGCTATCGAAGTTCTCAAACTTCACTCCAAGGTCGACAGAGACCTTCGACACAGTTACCAGTGTCCCCGTCGCGAGACGGACAGAGATCGTATCTCTCGTTGGCACTTCCAGTGCCTCAGCATACAGCTGACTCCCTTCCAGGGTGGAGCGACGGGCGTAGTTGCCCGAGGCTCCCGAGTCAATCAAGACTCTCCATGGCTTTGCAAAGCCCTTCACGTTCGCTTGAACGACCAGCAAGCCCGGCTTGCACACACTCTTCTCGTAAGAGAGCTCAGCTCTCTTCGGGGCTGAGCCCCGTTGTCCTCTACCTCTTCGAGGCACAACAGAACTCAGTTCTTCCCCAGTAGGCCGCCCCGCGCCTACTGGGAGTTGCCGTTTCCCGGCGATGACCCGGAGGGTTGGCTCGCCGGAGCCTCGCGCTTCTTGCGCAGAGGGCAATAGGCCCTCAAGTGCTTAGTGCTATTGCACACAAAGCATCGGCGGATGCCGGCGCGCTGCTCCGCAGCAAGAAGCTCCGCTTCTTCATCTTCAGCATAGCTGAGGTCCATCGGCTCTGGACCGCTCGAAGAGCTTGCGCTACCAGCGCTCCAACCAGGTCGCGCCGACCTGAAGTTGTGCTCGGCATTCAATGCCACATCCACCGCCTCTTCAAAAGAGTTAGGGTGTACACGGAACAGTTCTGTTCGAGCTGCGCTCACACGAAGTCCCTCCATGAACACGGTCACGCTGACCAGTTCCGGAAGAGGGTCCACCGCCATTCCGGCGATAAGAGTTCTCAACTCTTGGACATAGTCCAATAAATCCTTCTTACCATGGCGGGTAGCAAGGAACTTTGACCGGATACGGTACGCCTGATTAGGCGGCGCGAACACGCGCGAAAGCTGTTGCTTCAGCTGATCCCAAGTGGGAAATGCAGCGTCAACAGACGTGCCGCACGTTAGTGCCCATTCGCGAGCGCGACCTCCAAGCCTGGAGATAGCCAGCGCCACGCGCTGATGCTCAGACTGGAGCAGGGCCGATCCCATGGCCATCTCGACCTCACGGGTCCAGAGAAGGAGATTCTCTCCATCCTTCCCCTCGAAGGTTTTTACGCTCACCATGAGCGGTTTCAGTCTCATAGACTCTTCACGCGTCATCGACGCCGCCGCCGTTGCGGCGCTCATCTTCTCTTGGACATGCTCCAAGAGCGCGTTCTCGTAGCGGGAGAACGATTCCAGCCTGGCAGTGACCGCCTATGGGCCTTGCGATGCAAGATGAGCCACGCCCTCCGGGCCAAGCAAGGACATAAGCTTAGTAAGCGCGTCCTGCTGCGCCGGGGGCAAATTCGCGAACACGGGGTGTTCCATCCTCGCAGAGGATATAGTCAACCGACTCAGGAGCGGGATTGACTACAAGTGCTACCAAGTGCAGCGGGGCTGCCGTAGCTTTAGCGTCAGAGGAAGACGTTCGACTCAAAGAGTCACTGATACTAAGTTCCTTATCCAAAGGACACTTACAGCCCAAGACCAGGGCTCAAAGTTAACACCTTAACTTTTATGCTTCAAAACCAGAAGTGTTTATTTACTATTATTGCGGCCAAGCCGCCTAGGGGTAAATGTATATGTTTAACTATCTAGCATAGTTAAACCTAATCAAATGCATAACGTGTGGCTTTCAGCCAACGTACTGAGAGACCTTGTTAACTCTCCAACTTATGTACTGAGAGTTTGTTAACTCTCCGGGTACTTCGTACCCCTGTGTGCTCCACACCATGTAACCCCGTTACAAAAACTGTCGTAGGTGTAGATCGTAGATTAGCTCTTATCCACCACTAGACACTCCCAATGCTTAATATTGATATTCATTGGCATGAACACGAGATCCTTATCGGCACTGGCCAGCAAACGCACGGTCCAAAGAAGCACTTGATTAGCTTTGCCGGGTGCCAGAATCTTGAGCGGAGGTAAGACAGACCCATCATTCGCTCTTATCTGCCTGTGACGTTTGATGCACAGTCTTTCCATAAGGTGTGGTTTGCTTAATCATCGCCAGTGCCTCTTTACCAATGTTTCCGGAAGCATGTAAGAAACGATCTCACTTTCAAACACGATTTTCCCCGCCTTCATGCTCTTAGCTATTGTTTGTGCATATCGAACTTCGAAGGTGTTCAGAAATGAAAATAATGCAAGTAGAGGATGATTTCGCGAAGGGCGTTTCTCGACTTAGCGCCCTTATTGTACCCTGTCCGCCCACGGGTTATCTTAACTTTCTCTGCTGCTCTGTCCTTGCGGGGTCGACCGACACGACGTCTTGGGTTGAGCGACTTCATCAACTTCTTAGAAGTAGCACTGGTTATCTTTTCTATCGCTATTTGTTAATGCCCTGGTGATATTAGTGATCTTTTTCTTCGAGCTCGCCAGCGATAGTCTCCGTTTTGAGGGTTGCGGGCAGCTGCTTGTCCTCTTCAACGTCTCATTTCTCATTTGCTTCGCCGTCACACAAACAATACGTTATCACGTCTCCTTTCCTTGCTGCTAAACATTTCCAGGTATTGGAGAGCGGGGTGGAATTTCTTGTCGGGACGATCGCTATTTTTGCAGCGATGCAGCCGCACACGTCCTATGCACACTTGTACTTCTCTCTCTGGTAGCGGCTTCTTTCAATAACCACATCGATGCCAGTAGCGATGAGAGGTGATACGTCGACGGCAACCAACTCTCAGCGCTTAGTCACCTATATCAAATGGCCATTTGCGAAACATGCTGAAAATATAGCAGCATAATGCAAAACATGATCAAACATGGTAATACGCTAGCAGCTACAACCAAAAACTGGTGCAGCCACGGCTATTATGATTTATATAAGACGACATAACGTACCGGGCGGTAATGAACGATTACGGGATCGTCATCAGGCCAGCGATATGTTTTTGATACAGCATACTATGTCTGCATGGCAACTTCATGGTTTCTGAAAACTCACATGCACACATCCGCAAGAACTTGATCACTCGGTGTGAGCGACCGTCGCGCATGAGTGTCACGTATAACTACTCGTCGTCAGCAAAGTAACTTTTGTTAAATTCGGGATCAACAGCGAACATGTACTCTTACCTGAAAACCTTGGCTAGCCACTCGTGCGTCATTCCGAGAAAATAGTTCATCTCCTCGCCGTCGACAATGATCCTTTGCGTACCAGGAAAAATCACGCGACTCCCGTATTCATCGTCTTTTCGTCTTTAAAATCGAAGCACCGATTCCACTGCTTCGTATTCATGGAGCTGTCAAGATCGGTCTTCTGCTTTCCAAAACAAATCTCCAATCTGTTGTTGGTTGTTGCGGAAATAAGGTAAATTCACGATGTACATAGTTACTTATAAAGAAGACGTGGAAACATGGACCCAGGTAACTACGTCACTAACATGGTCTGCAAATTACAAAAAATGGAACCAACCTTTTCGTTTTGTGTGATGTAGTAGAACACACAATACCGTCAGATGTGGATTCCTTACACAAACCACAACAAATCGCCGAGTTAGGTCGGCGGTTGTATGGCCTGCGCACAGGGTGGTCCCCTCGCGGTTCGGCCCTGCCGGGACAGACGAGTGATCGCTTCCACTCGGTTCCGACTAACCAAGTCAGAGCACTTCCGCGGCCCCGCCGAGTTTGGCTCGGCAGAGCTCGTTCACAAACCCTGTGCCCTCCACCAAAGGATGGACGACGGCGCGCGAGCGCTTTTACAGGTCACCGAGCGCAGAGGCTGCTCAGCTAGAGGTGTTACGGCACCCGGGCTATCCAACGTACCGGCCCGCTGAGTATGCGGGGCTTTCTTTCGCGCGTAGCGAGACTTTGTCCTACCCGGACCGACCTAATCTCTTGGCGCTACCAATCAATACCCTACAAGCTATGCCTCTCGAGTATTGACGGCAGGCATAATCCAGCCCTATGCAGGGACTTACCGGAAAAGTGTACACGTGTCTTGGACTAGGAAAATTCTGCTCTGTTATCTTCTGGGAGCCCTTTCGGCTCCCCCTATATAATTCTATGCTTCCTATACAAATATCTAGTGAAATGTAGTCGTTTCGGATCTCTACCGACCCTTCCGCTGGGTTCAGGCGACCGTTGAGCTCAGCGGCTATACTAATACATCATCCGGACAGACCGCTGAGTACTTACCGTGATCCTTTGTTCCTAAGCTCTGGGTTATCAGACCGAGCCGATTCTTGATCTTAAGTAGGTTGAAGTATGGCCGAAGCTGGAAATTACTACACCACATTTGTGTGTGTAATTGACGAGCAGAATTTCCGGGAAGCGTTCCTACAGCTTTCGCATGAGCTCTGAGCTGATGGAGACAGCAACCGTTTGTTCATGGCTGTCTCCATTTCCCGACGACACGTTTCCACGTTGAAATATTCTAGCAATTCGGCGACTTGGTCCTCGGCACTGAGCGAAACACCTTACACAACACAGTCAAGTTCAGCATTCAAAAGCAAATAAAGTAATTGAAGGATGACTCACCTGTCTTCTTTATCTTAGCGATCATGCTGTACACATCTGTCAGCTGTAGGTAGTGAGGTGAGTTGATCCCAATGTAGTTGCAAATTCCGCTGGCTTTGCTGCCAGTCGCAGCCATAAGCTCGACATCACTCATGATCGGTGAGATCGAGGGGGTTATTCGAACGGACGGGTCCCTTCGATAAACTGCTTCAAATTGTTTTGACAATGTCCATTAAAAAAAAGGCTCTTCACTTGACTGCGCCATTCTCCTCTTAAAAGTTTCACACACACTGAGGTCCAACTCGCATCTGACACCCAGCCCCCTTTCACATAATGCTACGGGCACGTTCCGTTTGATCGAACGCAAGTCTATCCATGCATACAGATTTAAACGTGCTCGTAGGGATAAAACAATTCTGGAACTAGCGGGATTTCACCGGTAGGGATCCCAGCGTGAACCTTCATGTTAGAAATTCGACGGTTTCTTAGCCGAACGTAATAAGGCTCACTGATGATCACCACTGTGTGGTTGTCCTCCTGGTACTTTTCTAGGTAACCCTCAAATGTTTCCCAATCCTTGTGGTATATCTTCATTTTAGGGACGTAGTACAGCTCTTCATCGCGATCATCTAGCACGTGCTTGCAACTGTCACGGGATTCTTGCGATGCTTTCTCACTTTCTCCACCATCAATTTTAGTAGCACCATTTGCTTCGTCCGACACCCGCTCACCTTCAACAGAACACGCTTTAGCTTGGTCGTCGCCAGTAGAAACATCGTCCAGGCGATCATCGGGATGTTCAATATCATTGCGGTGAAGCGCCCGTTGTCTCTAAAGAAGTTGGAAGCTGATTGATAGGCTACGCCCCGATCGGGTGTTGGAAGACCGCCAGTGACGACGGCTCATCAGCGAGCCCATACGCAATCAACAAGATCGGATCAATAAGGTGCAGTCATTTCGATACGTGATCTACTCATTATATGCGGTCACTCATGTACCTCAGACCGACTGGATCCCTGGTTATCGCGATCACCGCCTCTTCCAGGGTCATGCGATCGTCCGCTGGTCCTCGCTAGACGTACACCATACGTGTATCTCGGAGATGAGCGTGGACATCTTGTTCAGTTAATTTTCCAAACCTCTGTAGTGGTTGTTCTCACTTCGTAGTCTGACGCCCCAGCTCCAGAAGAGAAGACGATCTGGTTGACGAGGATGGCGTGCGCGCCCTGATGCAGTCCCAGCACAGCGACACATTTTACCCCCACCATCACGCTGAGAGACCGCTTGACGTGCTTGTTGAGAAGCCTGTTGGAGATCCCGATCCAGTTTCCCAATCTGCTCCCTTAGACGGGTGAGCTCCGCGGCGTTAGCAGTGATAGTATCATCTGCCGTTCTCAGGCGATACTCGAGGTCCTGCCGAATTTCTTGGAGACGGCGTCTCTTGCGCCCGATCACGGCCTGCAGTCGACCTCCCTCTGAGCGGCTTGTTGAGAGGTGGAAGATTCTAGAAGCTCGTTGTCCAAGGCAGCCTTCTGATCGCCGAGTGCTTGAAGGCTAGAACGGGATTGCGCAAGCTGGTCTTCCAGACCTGCTATGTGACGGGCCACATCCGGAGGGACGATTACCGCATAATCGTAGTCCTAACGGCAAGCCCATATCCTAGTAAAAACAGGAGCTACTGCTTTTTTGTGTGCTGCCAACTTTTAGCCAACTGTTTGCTTCATTTTACAAGCGGCTGCTCTCCACCGAGACGCGCCCACGCCAACGAGCTCAAGACGACCAAGTTGGTCTCCACCACGCAGCTAACGTATCTCATCTCCACGGGCAGCAGCAGCATCTCGCCGTGGCGACTGTCGGGCGACGCTGATAGCTTCTCCTGGTGCGAGCGTCGCAAGCATCTGGCTAGACAAGCTGCGACGCAGTCTGACGATGAACCCGTGCTGTTTAGCAGCCTGCCACGAGTGAGATCGCGGACAGGCGTCTGTGGCGTGTTGATTGCCTGGATTTTGAGGTGTTGAAGGGCGTGTTATGCACGAAACTGGCGCACCATCCATTCGAATAGAGTTTATCCACAGAACCAACTCTTGTTCCGACTCCTTGTTTAGTACTGTTGCTAGTCCTGGATCTCGCACATTGCGGTGGCTACCACGACCTGAGGCGCAAGCAGAAAACATTGTATCTTCAGCCCTCATCCACGATCTAGCTAGCTTTCTCTTCTTCTTCTTCACTTCAGGTGGCAATCCATCGTAAAAATGATCCACAGCACGGTCGAGGTCATGCTCTTTAATGTAGTCAAGCACGTTTTTCTTGTGAGAATAGGTCGATGAGATTCTTATGCCTTTCGGCGACTTCCTACCGCCCCCGTTGGTGCAAGGACGCACCATTGTTCTGCAAAAGCTGCTCTGAACAGCATTTTAAAGCTGGCGAAAGCTAAGAATAGCAACTTGGATTGTGAAACTTACGTGGGCTCAAAATTACTTCTGATTGGCCAGATTGGCTGTGCCGTTAGGACTAATGTGCCGTTAGGACTACGATTATGCGGTACACTGAACGAGGTGGCGGCAAGCAGCTGTGCCTCAAGGGTCGCGATCTTGTCTTGAAAGTCGGATACAGCCTCGTCGTAGCGGAGTTCTAGGTCGAGGTATCGAAGACGGCAGGCTTCAACTTCACGGGTGTTGTCCTGCCGTTTCTGCAACGCGTTCAGGCAATCAGCAAGATCTGCACGTGTGGTGTCCAATTGGTGACGAACCAATCGTACTTGTGCTGACTGAAGAGCACATACGGTGACGCAGCGTCGGCTGCCTCCGCAAGCTGGTGGTCTAAATCATCGGCACGCCGACGGGCGGCAAGATATTCGCGGCGCAGAGCATCGTGATTTCGCCGCAGTTCCCGCAGCTCTCTCACTTTATCGATAGCCTGCTCAAGAGCGCGCAGAGAAGCACGCACGTGAAGGAGGTCTAGCGAGGGGTCCGCCAGGTCGACGGTCGACACTGGCACGGGGATAGCATGGGCCATAGGTGGCAACGACGCGTTGGAGGAAGGAGTAGCAGCATTACAGGAACCACCGTCTTAACAGAACATGGTAAGGAAGTCAGCTATACGTATTAAAGGGTGAGAGGGGGACAAGGGAAGCAAGCACGTACGAGAGGACAGGAGGAATACGGCCTAACGGGGATGGGTGAATAGGACGAGGCGCGTGTCGTTAGTAAGTCTCACAATTGAACCATTTCTTGTACGAGGGATGCTAGCGTGCCATATTACGCTACATCCGGTCCGAAAAGAATGTGCATTTTAAATGTAGTGTGAGCACGTGAATTCTATTGTTGCTTTTGATTGGTTGATAACTGATCTCACACCCGGTTAGGTCAATCGGCGCGCGTTATATATTTATGCTGATAACACCACTTTGAAATGCACATTCTTTATTCGGACCAGAGGTAGTACGTGGTTTGTACTGGTCACCTCGGTAACAGAGGTAAGCGCCACACTAATAAGTCAACACACCACGTTAGATTGAGATGGCCAGCAAGGTCAGCGTGGGTATCACACCGTACACCGCATATCGGTAAGCAACACACTCAAGTCTGCGATGCCGCGGCTCCACCCGCATTTTCGAGCTCTCGGTGGGTCGCCTTCTCGTCGCATAACCACACAAAAAGTGAGCTACATGCTGTCACACATACTTGCACACTTGTCTAAGTGTACGTACCGGGGGGGGGGCGCAGCTGGCATAAAGGGGCTACAGAGAAGCAGGTAGGAGAAGAGGGGGAGGCGGGTCGGAGCGCGATGATTCGAGAATAGACGGCTTTGGTAAGTGTAAAAGGCCTGATAACCACTGAAACGAACAAACACATGTTCAAATTAGTACCTTACCTTCTGCAGCACGAAGCGAGGTATCATGGGAGGCGCAGCGGGGGTCCACGGGGTATTGCATACGGCGGCATGTGCGTGGGGAGAGCTAGAGCTGGCCTCTCGCGACTCGCAGCAAAATGTGTGGCTCTTCGAATTAAAACTTATAGCTGCAATGTATTTTATAAATTTAAAACATGGCCAAACATGTTGAAAACATGCAATTCACAGCATGGGCTGTAGATTTTTTGTTCGTGAATTTATTCAAGATAATTATGGACGCCTCAGTGCACAAATTTCCAGCGAATGAAACGCATGTGCTACAAGAGAGCAGTTTCCCCTGACGTACTATTCACTGTAATTATTGTCCATGAGCAAAACCTAATTATTGCGGAGCATGTTCGATCGCAGAACTGTGGTGTAGCAGGATCAGCAAAATCTGCGAGATTGTTGGATCCAACTTACCACCAGTACGCAGACACCGACTAACGGAGGGGTCACCAGCAAGGCAACCCTACGGCCAGATCCCAGAGCTAGGCTCTGGATCCACCAAGCTCGAATAATCGCTTGGGATCCTGAAACAACTACGGACGCAGAATGAAAATCTTACCACTCATACTCCACCCCATCCCCACGTCTCGCCAAGGCGCTCTCGTTTCCACCACTTGGACTTGAACTCTCAAGATCCCGCTACAGGAGGCGGCAAGAACGACGCAAAGGAAAACAAAGGCACGGGAACACCCGGTTAGCCTTTCGGACCTGCACGTGTAGAGGAAAGGTGCTAGGATCTGGCCAATATATTATCCAGTTATTACTACCAACACTAGGATCTGCAATTCGCAAACCTTCAGCCGAGCTCGTACGCCACCTTAATCCGATCTTGAGGCAGAAAGCACTTTGCGTAACACGAAGCTAAATAGAGTTCTGATTTAAGTTAAGCCTACACAGCCTGGATATATGTCCTCTTCTGTCCTTTACTCCTAAATCCTCCTGTTAGGCCTGTCTAGTTGTCCTTTCTCTCCTCGGTCCATCTCCTCAGCTCGCTCTGCGAAGAGCTGGGGCGCAATCATTGTATCGTGGCTGATCACCGATTTACCCCCGATCAGGGATACCCCCCCCCCGATCAGGAATATCTCTGGATCATGGGTACACCTGGATCCTAGCGATTTTAGATATCGGGCCCAGATCGCGATTCCCCACTCACTCCCTCCGATACCGGATATTTGGATATCCAGATCTCGTTCTTGCGACCTTCCGCTTGGATTCCAGTCGGCGTCCTCCCTCCCTCCCCCCCCCGTCCAAACCGTTACAACTTTTGTCCCGATTCGTAAACCCTGGATCCAGATCGTCATATTCGTATCCACAGTGTCAATAATCCAGAACAGTGTCCGGCGGTCACTTCCCGTCTTCTTATTTCTTGTAAAAAAGCATATCACCACAGCCGCTTTCTGTGCCTAGCTTTCGCCGCCCAACGGTGTCACTGCGCGCACCCAACAACGTTCTCACTTTCCCATTAGAGTCTCCAAGCACACTCGACATGGCACCATCATAACGCGCTGGCCGGGGGCACGGGAAATTGCCCGTATCCGCGCCTTTCTTCAAGCTGTCGTCGTCTCCGCCGACCTCGGTGGAGGATCTCCATTGCTTAGTCCGGGTGCTCTCAAATCAGGTCAACACTCTGACAACCAAGCTGCAGGCTGTGACGTCTAAGCGTGATTTTGCTCGCCAAGAATGGAATGTTGTTTTTAATCCATCCTGTCTCCAACAGGGGTCTCCATCAGTGGCGTTCAAATCCGCGATCTCCGCCAACAAATCTACAGCCAAGCACTGGAGACCCAGGTGGTGTAGTGTTTCTCCTAAAAGATGTAAAAACACTATCAGCTGACATAGGCACGCCATGTTCAAGTTGCTCAAGCTACTCACGTGACAGAAAAAGACTTCGAGGTGTCAAAGACTCGACTAGTCACTAACGAACCCTCGCTGGGGCTTAACTGTGACCAAGATGTCGATCCGTCCAGGCCGTTCTTATTGGTAACAAGGGGGCTGGCCGGATTCACATTGAGTGGCACTAAGCTGGCGCGTCACGGTACGAACGCTCGGAGGTGGTTGGAGCGACTCTAGCCAAGCCTAGGCGACGGTATAAATCCGCGTTGGCCGTTGAGAAGATGCGGGGGCGGCTCAAGTGTGGGTTGACATGCGAAGCGATACATAACGGAATGTAGTTCACTTGATATTAGTATACATGTTTAGGTTTACTTATTAGGAATAGGCCCGAAAGGGCAGAACAAATACAGAGCAGAATTTCCACTCAAGCGCACAAGCGACGTCTGGATTCAGGGTAAGCGTCTGGTCAAGCTTACTTGTGTGTGGTATGCCTGTCGCTGAACTCGAAGCTCTGTAGCGAGGGCTCATTCGGCAAGGCCAAGCGAATGTGTGTGTTTTGGCCGATTATATATCGGAAGGTTTACGTGCCGGGTTTATTTTGCCTATTTGCACGACTGGGAGTACGTGTATTGCATCCCTTTTATTCTTCCAACCACGTGTTGAACACTCGGCGCCCTCGTAAATGGCTTACCCGTGCCTGGTACCATTCCGCTGTTGGGGCCGCGAGGATTCATAGCACCTATTAGCTTTGCTCGTGCTAGTAGCGTGTTCTTATTTTTACTGGTTGACCTATATAAGCGATTTGCAAGGTCCAATATGTCCAGGGGCTAGGGCAGATCGTGGGTCATCAGGTTCGCCCGAGCGATCGTTTGCCGTTCTGGTAGACGCATTGTTGTGGGGGCTTCCTATCTACACTAGTAGATAGAGTTTACGTGGGATTTCCAACACCACACTTACTGTGCTTGTCAGGCTTCGCCGTTAAAAAGTTGCATGACTTGTTGTCGTTGCAGATCTCAGGCATCGCACACGACCATCTGAGCTCCTCGCAGAGGCCCATCAGCCCTAGTAGGTCATGTATTCCCTTATTCATCGCTATATACTCCGCTTCAATGGTGCTCTGTGCGTTGATCTCCTGCTTTGTTGATCCATACGAAACCACATTGCCGCTAACGAAGATCACAAACTCGCTCACATTCTTTCGGTAATCAGGGTCGTTCGCGTAGTCAGCGTCGGTGTAGCACACCAGCTGGACATCGTTCTCGGCAGGTACGTTCATCACTAGGCCGTAGTTATCAGTACAAGCGAGGTGACGCAGTGTCCTCTTGGCCATAATGCAATGGCTGTGGTCGAATCAGGACAGGTACTTGCTGAGATATCGCACGGCATGCGCTATATCTGGTCTCGACGCAGAAACCAAGTAACCGGCTTCGGCTCCGACGCTGGCTTCCAATCGTCATTCTCCTCTTCGACGCGCACGCGCTTGTTGCGCTTGTGCTCCCCCAGGTACTACTGTGTCTGTGACCTTTATAGTCCGGCGCTTGCTACTTATGGGAGCCACTGGCTTAACCGCTGACGTCACATGCTCGACGGATGCTCCCTCTGCATCTGTTCCCTCTTCAATGATGTCCAGCTTCGCAAGCTGGGCCGCTCGCTGCGCAACAACGTCCTTAGATAGCTCCGTGTACGTCCTCATCGTCGTCCGGATCGGCACGATCGGGATGCTGGACGGAATCTCGTTGTCGCCGTACGCGTAGGTGGTCAGTAGCAGCCTCTCAACGTAGCCACTATCTACTGTGTACTACTCGTGCGCCTTCATATTTCCTCCTCTGTATGTCGTCGCTGAGGCAGTCCGCAGGTTCAGAATCTTGTAGCCATTCGTCTGATTGCTGTAATTAAGTAGGAGACGGAGATTCGGGCGCGCGGAGAGTCGTCGGGGACGTGCGCGTGTACGAGGCACCCCCACATACGCAGTTCGCTTAGGTCTGGACGCTGTCTAGGCAAGGCTTCATGCGGGGTCTTCTTGTCCTTGAGCGCCTGCGTCGGTGAGACATTCAGCGATAGTGTGTAGGAATGCCTCACCCTAGCGTGATATCGGTAACTGGTTGGCTTGGAGTATCGACCGGACCTGGTGCAGTATCGTCTGGTTGGCACGCTCGACGGAGTACTCCTGCGGACTGTATGGGTTCGTAGAGCGCAGGTCTATTCCTTGCTCTTCGCAATAGACTTTGAGGTCATTGTTAATAACCCCCCCCTTACCCGAGAACTGCATCAGAATTATGTTTTTGTCAATGCGAATCGGCCCGCGCGTTTAGCTCATGCACCGGGACTATGATTCAATCCATGAAACACATTCATAAGGAGCAAAGCGCTTCTGCGGCAGCTTTATTCCAAACTTATACTCGCTGCTTGCCTTAGCTTGAAGCGTCTCCATGCTCGCATGGCCCGTGCGGTAGTGTGTGTGGTCCTCAACGTTATGCGACTTGATCATTTACATGGCCTTGATTTGGTTTGGCGTCCGCATGCGATACGTGCCGCGTTCGTAGTCAAAGTGCAGTTTGAGGGAGTCTTTCATGAGCCAACTTGTTCAGCGACAGTCGAACCTTGAAGCGGTAGTTGAATTGCATGTACGTTTGCGACAAGAGATTGAACGGCGCCGACTTGGAGTAGCTAACGTCCTCCATGAATCGTTCTTCCTCCTTTCCCATATGTTCGCCCACTACATTCATTAGCACCGTGCCTACGGCCGCTCTCTCCGTCGTTCCGCTGCCGAACTGCAACTCGAACATGGTGTTTTCGTGACGCTCCGTGAACAATGCTAGGTCACTAGTGGCACTAGTCTGCGCACAACTGTCCAGGATACACTCGACCATGTCGGTCGGTGAGCACTGGGCGCGCGTGCTGCTCTGTTTGCCATGCTCTACTCCCTTCTTGTCGTTGCTGCTTGGCGCTGTCAACTCAATATCCTTCGGAACTGCGACGGCAGCCAGCTGCACGGTGGGCGCTGACCGTTGTTGCAGCCGGAGTTGCTGTGCTCAGAACACTCGGCGTCGACGCTCCAATGTCCCGTTTGTCCGCATGCGTTGCACTTCGACCTCGCCTTGCGCGCAGCGATACTTTTTCTGCTCCGCGACGAGCTCTTGCTCTTCTGGCGCTTGTTGCGGCCACGG